TCTGATGTAGGGAAGTGCAAGCACTGGTTGTGACGGCTTCTCTTCCTTGCGAGGCTCCTGCTGTCTTTCAGCCAAAGTCTTTTCTATCATCGCTTTGGAGTAGCCATTCCGTTGAAGATCATTTTTGATGATGTCTAGTTCCTTCTCGAGACCTTCTTTCGTATTACAGAGCCCAAAAGCACGGTCTAATAGAGTCTTGACGATTTCTCTTGTCCCGTGTGAGTGGGTTTTCGGTATATAGATGTTTCCCACTTAGTGTCGATCCTCTTCACCAAAACGTCTAAGAATGGCAATTCCTTGTGAATTTCCTTCCCCATTGTGAAAGTGATGGAATGTCTCATGCTGTTGATGTGTTCCAGTTCAGTATTCCCTTGGTTCCATATTATGAAGGTTTCGTCAACATATCTCAACCAGACTCGAGGTTTCTTGTGGGCTTCTTCAATAGCCAGAGTTACAAACCACTCCATATACATATATGTTGGCTATGATTGATGAAAGTGGCGATCCCATTGGCAGTCCTTCAACTTGTGTAAAGAATTCGTCCTTCAGTTGGAAATAATAGTTTCGTACACAGCATCCAAGTAATTCCATAATCATTTCTATAGGTAGATTCGTTCTCTCTTTTAGGTTCCCGTCTTCGGATAGCTTTCTCTGTATAATTTGGAGTGCTTTTTCGACCGAAACGTTGGTGTAAAGGCTTTCCAAGTCAAAACTAATTAGTTGATCTTCCTGTGTGACTTCAATTGACCCTATTAGTTCAACAAAATGCCTTGAATTCTTCACAAAAGACGATGTTTTTCCTTGTAAGGGTTGTATTATGGGAAGTAAAAATCTAGACAAGTTTTGAGTAGCCGAATCTCTGGAGCTGATGATGGGTCTGAGCGGAATGTCCTTCTTGTGGATTTTGGGTAATCCATACACTGCGGTGCGGTGTTAGCAATGATCTTTCCTTGTCTGAAAAATGGACTTGTTGTTTTTTCAAAATCTGGTACAACTTCCTTTCAATTGATGCAGTAGGGTCCCTTACGATCTTTGAGTATCGTCCCTTCTGAAGAAGCTTTTTATTCTTCTGTTCGTAGAGAACAGTATCCATCACCACAGTAGTTTCTATTAACTGCAGGTGGGATCTTGATTGTGTTGTCTCTACGTGGCCGTATAGAGCTCTACGTTCTTCATTGCTGATGTTAGATGTTGAAACTGCTCTCGATCCAGCTGTTCTCTGATTTTTCATCTGAATTCTTCTGCCTCGGTCTGGTCAATAAGGGAACTGGTGGATTCCACTGCAGAAATTATCTCCAAAGTGGTCACAGATGTTGGTGCAATGGCGAAATTTAGGCCTTTCCACAACAAGGATTCCTTTATTCCCGTGAACTCATGTTGATGAAGTTGATGATTAAGAGGCCATTAAATGTTCGCATTGCCGAGCACAAGAAACACACACAGAGAAGGGAAACCAGCAAATCAGGAATAGCAGACCATGCGTGGAACCATTAACACCACATCGAGTGTTCCCAAGATGAGATCACCCACAGAGAGGAACATTGGTTTAGGAGAAAATTCAAGGAAGCCGCATACATGTTGTTCAACAACGTATTCAGACAAGCTGGCGTAGAGAATCGCAACACATGGAAACCCATCATCAAGCGAAAAATGACCAAGTCCCGCCAAACGGTCATCTCCCACTGAACCAGTGAAGCGGAAAAAATGGAAAGCGGGGATAAGTGAAAGTACTCGAATGACCCATAAATAGTCATCTCTCGGAGGAATCAGTCCAGTCATCACCCGAAGACGATTGTAGATACTAACAATCGAAACGTCGTGAAATAACCTGGCTTGGAATCTCTTAACTTTTTATTTTCATTTTTATTTTTGTTCAATTGTTCTATCTTTACTTGTATTTTATTTCACTATTCTTTCATTTCAAGTTATTTTTGCTTAATATACTTGTTATTTTCAGCTATTCATTTTTAATTCTCCTTTTTTTTAGTGGTTTTAGGGGTTTCAAATCATTTTATATATTAGACAAGGGAAGTCCGAACTAGTGAAATTCATCATGAAACATTGTCAATCACCTTCAAACAAACGTTGAATACCAGGCCCCCATATCCTCTTTTCATCCACAGCCAGGTAGGGGTATACCGTGGAGGGTAGTACTAATGTCTTAGGACTTTTATGCCGCCATCCCAAAGTCAGTATATCCCATTTGACCTTCTGACAAACACAAACCGAAAGAGTCAGGGAGTTAGGCTCCAACCTGTCTTAATTGAAGACGTCAATCATCGTCACAGACGGCGCCTTTATCAGTGAGAAATAATCTCTCGATTCTTGAAATCAATGAAAATCTGCACACAAATATTATGTTACGATTAGTTGTGAATAGTTGAATGTTAATTATTTTATCAGGACAATTCTATTTGTGAAATACCCTATATATAGTTCCAATCGAATAGACAGCCGACTCGTGAATTTTTTTGAAAGAAAAAAGTGAACGTTTTTTCACCGTCAGTCCGCTCTATGACATTCGCGAGAGAAACTGAGTGATAACGTCAGGAAGAGTTGATTTTAGGCAAATTCTGGTTTTCTAATATGAAACTACGTCTTTGATGGATATAAAGCTGCCGTGCCTTGTTGTGATATTGTGATTGAGTAATTCTGCTGTGGAGCGATCTTGCAATATCCTTAATTATCGATTGGGATGAATGATCGAATGAATTATTTCTTCTGGACTGCCTTAAAACATTTCCGACAATGTTAGGGTAGTCGAGCATTGGGAGGTAAGCGTATAGTTTTGTCACCCATTATTTTTTTTGGCGCGGATGTATTATAAAATAAATTATATACGAGAATGCCTTTTTTTCAGATGTTTTTCTCAGTTATGGTAAATCGAAATTTCGCCCGAACAGTGCTACCTTTGAGAACACGGCGAAATGAATGGGGTAAGACCTTTTTGAACCTTATTGCCTTGTAAGTAGCGACTAAACTGCAAATTTCCGAAATCATATCTATGGTGGTATCCTTATTTCGACCGTATGGACGAGAAATTGCCATAAGAATCTACACATCACTAGATGAGTACCGATAAAAGGTTTATTTGAGGTGTTGTTTTAGCGGAATCCTGATCAGTAACAGTACTTTATAGCTTTTCAAAAATATTTGAATATGCTTTCCTCAATAGGTTATTATACCAGTCTTGAATAGAATAGATAGATATGATTCATGGCGACGAATGCCCTGTTGCAATATTTCGTGATTTGAGTAGGACATTAGACTGTGTTAACCATGACAAGTTCCTATCAATATTGGTAACATATGGTTTGCGAGGTTTAGCACATGAAAGGATCTCATCCTTCAAGAAATCGAAAACAAATAGTCACCTTACAATTTATACATGACGGAATAACTAAAATTATCGTATCTAAGACTGGGAGTTTGACTAGAGCCACAAGGCTCAATATTGGGGCCCATACTTTTTATTTTGCACGTGAATCATCTGGATCACATTATTGAAACAGGGCAGATGATTTCTCATCAATCGTTTTCGATTCAGATACGAAAATATTAAAAAAAAATGTAATGATACCATAAATAAAGTGGCAAGATTCTTCAAAAGACGTGACCTTTTTTGCAATGTTGACAAAATACAAATTATAAGGATACACAATCGTCAAAAAAAAATGTAGAAAATCTGCAGATTCTCATAAAAGATACAGTTCTGAATAATTATCACGAACCGGCAAAAATTTTGGGAATTCATCTAGATGAATTCTCAAACTAGAAACCTCAATGTGAACAATTAATAACAAAATTGAAATATATGTTTGCCAACCTTCGTACTGTTTTGGATACTTATCAGCTCCTAAATTTGTACTATGCCCAAATTGAATTCCGGCTAAAATAGGGCAATGCAACTCATGCACGCGATATTCTTAACATTCAAAAACGAATTGTGGGGTATATTTTCGAAATTCCGCGGATGGGTTCATTCGTAAATATTTAAAAAAGTTTCAATATACTGACAGTTCCTTGTTTATACATATATGAATTATGTTTATACGTTTTCCAGAGCACACATGAATATGGATATACAATATGGATATACACAAACATAATACGAGACAAAAAAGTAACATCCGAATAAAAAGGACGAGGCTGAATATTTCCTCATTTGCTCCTAATGTATTGGGCCCAAAAATGTTTTAACATTCTACAAAAGGAAATAAGGTCTTGTGACTTCGTACTACTCTCCTGATGAATTTTTATTATTCGATAACGTATGAAACACCTATACTTCTATTTTGATAAACATTTTATTGTATGTTTTCATAACTTTCCTTGAATTGTTTACAGTATATTCAACACAAACTGACTATTCCTATACATGTAAATGTCACAAGAAAAGAAAACTGATTGATTGAATGATGATTGTTTCCGAAAGTAATGAACCTCGCTAAATAGGTGTTTACATATGGTTTTGTCTGTGCCTTTGTATAAGCGTTTCATTTGTAGTATAAGTGAACAATAAATCCGTTGAAGGGGTGTATTTTTGTTCCTTTGCCTTATTCTATATTTACATTTCGCCTTGATAGATATAACTTAACCGGTAAAATTTATTCGTAGGACGGTTCTGCACCTTACAGTTTTCGCGAACCTGGGTTGTTTAGTAGTTTTGCTTTAGGTTTAGGCTAGTCGGTGCACAACAAACTACTTAGCGCCCTTATTATCATCTTTTTTGTACATATTTATGCTTATATGCCGCACAAAAAAAAAGGACAGAAGTGTTATTCCTAATATTCGGTCGGTAGCCAGTCGGTTCGACGTGGGTGCTTTGTTTACTCACTCGAATTGACTGCCGTGTTGGTCGGTGGTTCAAACCCCAGTCTGAACGATCGATTTTCACTTGCTATCGTCCAACACGTGTTAGGAATCACACGTTAAAAGATAAAACCTTGTTGAACCTTAGCTAGCACAAGTTTCGACTTCTGAGGGTTGTCGTTCGTAGGGGTGCGACAGGTGGTTAACGGAAAAACAGATTTTTTTTTATTTCATTAATACATTTCTCTGATAGAAATTGTATGTATAAATATATCAGCAATTAAAAAAAAGGTGGGTTTTCAATTGCCATTCTTTTATGATACAGTTATTCAACTGTAAATCATTCTGTTCAACACACAAATCACCAGACCAGATGCACTATAAACCCGAACACAAAGTTTGATCAGTCACGATCTTATCATTTTCCATGGTTGCATCTGAATCATTAGCTGTTGAATAATTATATTTCTTATCTTAATCAGTTATAACGAGGCTGCTATCGAGTAATATATTGTTATCAATAGAAACTGAGTATGATTGATTGATCATATAAAAATAAATTTCTTTTGAAATCGTTATACTAAGTCGATAAATGTAATTTTTCCCAGAATTCAATGATACCTGGATAAGATTTTGTCTGATAACTGTACTTCTGATCACCAACGGATTTTTGTATGTGTCCAAAAACATATGCCTCTTTAGAGATTGGTCGCCATCTTGCATGCTTGATGGAAAGCGTTCTAGTTGGTTGGAGACATATAAGTTACAATTATTGAGACTTCTTCGAAACGCTGAAACGGTTGAAAAATCATTTGAAATTGTACTTGAATTGAATATTATTTTGATCATAATTTTATACATGTTTTTAATGTCAAATTAGTTTTTCAATCTTGAAATCAACAGAAGAAATTTTGTTCTCAACTGGAACAAAAAATGTACTCGTAACTCTCCGTTTTACGTTGACCGGCAACTTAATAACTCTCGGAAACATGCATTTGAAGATCATTCAGCAAATGAACTTAGTGAAAAAGCTGGACTTAGTCGAGAATGATTTGTAAAGTATTGCATGAATGAACCTACTCTCAAAAATATATTATTTATTTCAGGTATGTGTCCGCTATCACCCTCCATATCAGAAGGAACTTATGTAGTGAATAGTACTGACTGTACTCGGTTCATTGTATGCATAAAAAGCGCAACATATTCCTTCAAATGCCCTGACTCTCTCTTCTTTCACCAATCAACAGGTCGTTGTGACTATGGTGAAGATTTGGTCATACCAGAAAATTACTGTGAATACGACGACATGTACTACGAAAAATCCCATGTCTGCAATTGCAACAAATATGTACTGTGTGCTTATGGCGTACCGAAAGTCCTGACATGTCCGTTTGGATACCATTTCAACCAAGATCGAGAAATGATTCCACTGAACAATGTGAGCGTCAGAAGTGTAGACCCCTGTTCCAGAGGAAGTTGTTAGAATTCGAGTTTCTTTTGAGTGAATAGATGGTTTTCACAAGTATTTTGATTTATATTTCTTCTCAATCTTCAGAAGCCTGCCTTTTGAATGAGATTATTTCTCAAAAATGTATAAGACAAGGTGGGACACGTATTCTACTTCAACTAGACCATTGTTTTTGAATGTACATGTGTTGATTGCCATTATCTCAAAAAGGTTTTCCAAGTCTGAGTATCCAGTTCAGGTGGATGAGTCATAGGGGTGAAGACACCATCCACATAATCGTATACGCCATATTGACAAAACCCTCAAAAACTGACAATTTGCCACAATTTCGTAAAATAATGTAGTAAAGACGATTGACTTTTTCTAATACCGTTACGAATAAGTCTTTCTTTCGTAATTAATAAGTGTTTCTTTGACACAAACAACATTAGAGACGATATCATCAGAAACTATTTTACGTGAATCGGAAAATGCTGAATAGAATTTTCACTACTCACTTTTCGAGATACTGAAAATTCAGGAAGCCTCTCACTACCACTAGGAAGTCTCTTCGGAAAAACTATGAAGAATATGGCTCGTCCTCTTTTCAGAGAATTATTTTTATCCAACTTCTAGACAGTGTAACGCTTCTTACGCGTTACAAGTCACTTTGACGCCGAGTTCAGGTCACGGGTTGCCTCGGGCGCCAGCTTTCGGCGTGGTGTGCTCCACGTGCTCCGGGCAGCATCAGTGAAGAAAGTAATACACCAGGGGTTACTATGGTATCGACTAAATTAATTGTGGCCAGTACATTAGGTTTTAATTGCCGTCCAGGGTTCGAATCCTGGGAACTTGCTGCATTTAGTTAGAAGTAAAATGAAACAAATCAATCAGACGTTAACAAATGTATTTCAACAAATTAATATGGGTTGTACAGGTATCAACATGAGGGGTGTTTGGCACACGGCCCTTGACAAATTCTTACAACAGTATAATGGTACACCCGGTATAATAGTTAATAAAAAATGTGGGGTGTTTGTCACACGGCCCATGTTAAATACAATCAGTTTACGAAATCAATTACAACGATATTCGGCAAACGTCAACTCATTAATAATATCAATATGAAGGGTGTTCAGCACACTGCCTTCTTCAAAATAAAATAATGAACACAGAATAATTGTCTACTCGGTATGTTATAACAAGGGTATTCTTCACACGACCTTAATATAAAACGGTCAATTATTTTTCGAAATATCGAACAACCTGTGAACCACTACTTTTTATCTCACCCTTTTCATTCTGTTATCCACTTACTTTTTGTCTACCGGTTTGCCTTTATTTACTGGAACTCGAACTCGAACGGAGCTGGAACTGTATCGAAACTAAAAGTGAGATTGAACTACACTGCTTTGGTACCGACCAAGCGTCTTCATTTCATTCTGGTAGGAGCCCAGCTCCCTTACCCTCTTAGCTGATCCACTGCCTTGGTATTGTTCGTGTCATCTTGGCTTAAACAGGTTGAAGCCTGGCTCCCTTATCCTTTGGTCTGATGACTGCCTTGGTAGATGCTCTCGAGATTATTTGAAATAAAGTTCTACGCGGTGCCCGGTGATGGGCTAGTTGTGCCCTCCATCGGAGGTACGGTGTACTAACAAATGACGTATGATTTTCAAATCTCATTGGCGACCTGTCATAGTACAGTTTCCTATCGCTATAGAGTGGTAAATCGCATTGGCGACCTGGGATTTCTATTGCGATAGAGTGGCACTTTGACCTAGGAAGGTATTCATTCAGTCGGGGTCAAATAAATAACGGAGAAATAATATAACATCAAATAAAAAAGCTGTTTCTACCTGAGGTACTACTGGGGAAATTAGTAACTTCGTTACAACAGCATCATAATTGACCTGGGATACTGTCTTTCTGCGGATATACCATGGATCTTATTAAGTAAGTCACTTTTATATCAATCTCTGAAGAAAAAAAATTACAATGTAAAGAAAGCACCAAAAATACTTTTCCATTTTTCACGAGTTCCTGCTTTCACTATTTTCAGAAAAGTTTTATCTACGGATTTCAAAGTGGAACAGAAACTTAAACTATTGTGGCTCTACAATTGGCGACGATCTCTCTTGAAATATAAAAAGTTTGTTGAGAATTTGGAGAGATTATTTTTAACGTCAAGGCGTCTTAACAAAGAGGGTGACAGGTTGCTGAATATTCATCTATAGTATTATCATCATATTTGCCAACAAAAATAGTACACTTCCATTTGTTTTATCATTTTATTCACAATTTCGTGGTAAACAGAGTTCCATCAAAGAGTCAAATAGAAAAATTCGAATCTCCTTTCATGGGCCGTTCTCAGCAAAACACCCAGGAGTTCCTTAGTTATCTTTTAGAAAATGTACACGAGATTACATCAAGAATCCTTAACAAGTCTTGCCGAAAATAGAAGGGAAATTGAGTGACAGAGAAAAGGCACAAGAGTTATGATCGAGATATTCGAGGATAGCCTGTGGACAGTTTTGCCCGTCAGTTGAAATCTATGTTGAAGTGTACATTATGTGGACACTCATCGGTACCTTCAATCCTTTTCAGGTAATCGATACTTTCATTGGTATTTCATGGTACACTGTATTCGTGCAATAGGTACAAAAAATCACGGATTTTTCATTAATTTTTATCAAAATATTAGTGTACCTATAAATGACATAAAAAATTTGAAGATTTCATTATTATTACTTGAAGTTTTTGAGTTTTCGTTTCTATTCTCCATCCTTTCAATACTCCACCGAAAAATAATTCACAGAAGAAATTGTTCCTGAATGTGAAAAAATTAAATGATTCAATGATTAAGTTAACTTGGTTAGATGTTAGAATGAAAGCATATATTTAGATATGTGTCTATATATCCACCTAGTACGTGGATATGTCGAAGGATTTATGGAACAAATCCATTGGCTTTATGTGATGACTGTCAGACCAATGATCACTCATGGAGCAATTACCTGGTGGCCTTACAGAAAACGGCTCAGGTGAAGCTCTCTGGCTTTCAGAAACAGGCTTGTCTGGCTATATGTCAGCGGCCATAGAGATTATTCTATAACTACCCCTCTCTCCACATTTTTCTGAAGAGAGAGGCTAGATGGACTGCATATAGACTTGTGCACATCGCCAATTGCACAAATGAATCTAATGCAAAGTACTCTGACTGCTGGTTGACACTGGAAGTGGGAATAACCTCTGACATTATGCCTCCAACTGTCAACTATGAACTGCCTTATACAGTACTTTTTCCGAGTAGAAGGTATTGGATTATCCAAGAGAAGGAGATTTCAAAAGCAGATAGTTGTTTTTTCGCAGATGGATTAAAAACACCTTCGGGCTCTGGTGCAGGTGTTTCCAGTTGCTGACCTAGGACAGAGCTATCAACATATGCGACCTCTAATTCAAGCAGAAATTTACGCTATTGAATTGTGTGTGGAGAGATTGGTAGAATTGAACCGCACACATAAGCCAATAAGAATTTTCTTGGATAGTCAAGCGGCGTTGAAAGTTCTTGGTTCCTACCGAGCAACGTCTAAGTTGGTAGAAAATTGCCAAAAACGACTCTCCTCAATAGGAAGACTTAACAAAGTGTATCTGGTCTGGATTCCCGGCCACACTGGCCTGAAAGGCAATGAGGCTGCTAACTCTCTTGCAAAGGAGGGAGCTGCAAGTAGCTTTATCGGACTAGAACTTGTCATTGACATTGCTTGAGGTTTTGCCAAAAACAAACATTGAACACATGGATGGCAAGAAGATTTAAAGACTTCTGGCAAAATCTGAATTGGTTCACTCCAAGGCGGTCATTCACCCTTTGAAGTTCGAAACCAAACATTAGTTGGACTACAGTAGGGATGAACTACGATGTCTAACGGGCCGCCTTACAGGTCACTGTCGTCTGAATCATCATATGCAGAAACTCGGACTGTCGGAAGACAGTGGGTGTCTTCTATGTTTGGAAAATGATGAAACAGCAGAGCATATACTTTGTGCTTGCCTCTCTGCGGACCATCTGACCATATAAACTAATTGACTTCGTCAAAAAGCTGGGTTTATTTGGTCGAGTTTGAATAGGTGCAAGCCATAATGATTGCGGTGGAGAGACGAATGGGCCCACTCACTTTTGACCTAACCTAACCTAACCTATCCAACTAGTTCATACTTTGTTTTTTCTTTGTTCTATATAAAATATTTTGTGTTTTAGAATCCTTTCTGAAAACTCCTTTATTCAAACTGTTCACAAAATACATGACTTGTTAGGTGTTAGGAATCACACGTTAAAAGGTAAGAGCTCGTTAATCCTTATCTCGCACAAGTTTCGACTTCTGAGGGTTGTCGTTCGTAGGGGTGCGACAGCTGGTTAACGGAAAAACAGATTTGAAACACAGATTTTAAACAGAGTTGATTATCAAAATCTGAGATTATGTGACACAATAATCCCTATTTTCAAAGTCTGATCTGGCTGAGCAATCCTGATAAGGACCGCATCCCGATTTAAATCCCACATTTTTTTGTATCAAGTTGGAAAATTAGAAAGTTAAAACCTTCCTTTCTCAATCAAAAGGCATTTTTTGGCAAAATTAATAGAAACCGAAACTCAGAGATATAGGTATTTAATTTTCTTGATAGATTTATCAACCTTTGATCACGGGTCCCGTTATTTTTTTCCGAAGGAATACGTGTACCTGCTGCTTGCAATTGAAAAGGAACAGAGACGGCAAAGTTGACATTGAAAAACGTGTTTCCAAAGGTATGCGAGTATTTGCTGCCTGGAACTAATTTCACTGGTGTGAAAGTGTCAAGTCCAAGAAAGTACCGTAAATATTTTTTTGGCGAAACGGGTTGTTTTACCCAACAGAAAATACTACAAGTTGTGCATTAAGTTATTTATTCATCGGGAAGGGTAATCAACCTGTGATTTCAAAGGCGCACAACCCTTCTTTGCGTACTCACATATTCGTTTTTTTCTCTCATTTCAAAAGAATGCCCTTATCAACTGGAATAACTGGCACATCTGAACTTTGGAAAAATATTAGAAAACTATCAGTTTTGAAATGAAAGGTGAAATTGGAAGTCTGGCGTAGAATGAATTCAAAATAAGCATTTTCTCGAACATCAAACATCTTTTTCAAACATCAAACATCTTTCTCAAACACCAAATATCATCTCCTGAAGGTGCTAAACATGACTCGTTCGAACATGATTCCCTTTTTTTATATTCAAGGATACGTAATCTCCTCAAAACTTGGAATCCGATCATATCATTTGTTCTACTCTTCAAGGATGTTTTCCACCAAGAAGTGTTTATTTCTGCATGAAACGTAGGAATATGTTGAATTTGGAAAATCAAATTTTTTTTTTGATGTTTTGCTTGATAGTTCTCCATTGCAAACTCTGTTATAGTTCTCTGTTGTAGATATTCTTTGCCCATTTCTCTTTGACGGCTGGTACTTGCTAATTTGGTAAATGATTTGTTACGAATGACATTTAAATGCAATCTGATTTTTCATCCGAGCTGAAGCGATTCCCAAAAATTAGCGGATCCTATTTTCGTGGGCATTCCAAATCCCCAATCAGGTCTAGTCGCCTCTTCCTTTCAGTGTATGAACTGACCGTCTGTGGATAATTATTCCAATGTATTTGGTTGTAATAATTATAATTTCTTTTCTAGAAATTGTGCTGTTTTATATTGATTTGGAGCTTACAAATTCGAATAATATAATTTAACTATTCATGCTCTTCACTACCTATTATGAAAATCATCAATTATATTGTGTGATGGAAAAAATATACTCTTTTCATGTGTCTATACTTTGTTTCATGATTTTTATTACAGTGTGTATGTGAATATTGAGTTTTCTTTCCGAACCATCAAACTCATATACGCACGAATTTGGGATTGAAATGAGATGAGTTTTCATCATCAAGAGATGAACACAATCTTACTGCTATACATCTTGCGAATAATTTGTTGATTTTTCATTGATTAACAAAATTCTGACATGTTTCAATTATATGCTGATAATGTCAATTTTATCCATGAAAGGCCGGTCGAGTGTAATGAGGTACTCATATTTCTGCTCTACGGCAGATCGATATGACTTCGAGACTGAAGAGCAACAACTTGTATACCAATAATATCAATCAATATTCAATGCCATCTGATGTAGATGAAGATACGATATATTATTCGTATTCTTTATGAAAACATTCACTGAAAACTCATTCAACATCACTCTTGAATCAACATTAAGGAGAATCTCTGAAATTCATGAACCTATATAGTTGAATAAATAAATCTAATGGAAAAGTGAACAAATTAAGATCAGCAGCATCATCATCTCCTGGTGATGCGCACTTGGTTAGCGAAACGAATGTCGAGATACAGTGCCATACTTCAGTGGAAAAAGTGTTTCCATTAGATGCATTTTACGTCAGAAGTTACAATGCTACCTAATGCATATTTTTCTATCAACACACCAAATTTTGATTCGATCATTAGATTATTTTATTCATGAGCCATGAAATATTGAGAGGCTTCAATACAAAAGTTATGATGTCTACCTTAACTGACCTCAACATTAATTCCATTCTTGGAAATAATGTTGAGTTCAGAGTTTTATGAATGAGATTTTAGAAAACTGACTTTTTTCATTTGGAGAAAAAAAATTATGAAAATTTTAAAATTTTGATAAAGCATCAATTTTAGGCAAATCCGCAACAAAGGTATTGAAAAACTTGTTTTTCTAATAAAAAAGTCAACTAAATAATTTCAAAGAATACTTCAATAAAGATGCCAAATTGGGGTTTTCAAAACCTGACTGTTTTAGAATTTTGTTCCAAATGATAATGTCCCGCATCAAAATGTGTGTTTCTGAAGTGATATCNTTCAATATAGATGCCAAATTGGGGTTTTCAAAACCTGACTGTTTTAGAATTTTGTTCCAAATGATAATGTCCCGCATCAAAATGTGTGTTTCTGAAGTGATATCAAAACTTCAAGTATGTACATACAATAGTAGTATTGAAGCAATAGTGCTATTTTTTTCTGATAACGATATCTCGCAGATTTCCAATAACAATTTCCATTATTTAACGAAAATTTTGTTATTTTGCAATACCATGAGAACAAACAGCATGATAAAATAGTACGTACGACGAGTGGTTCTATCTATCGCTGGTTGCTCGATTGGTATTGTTCAAAAAATAACAAAGTAGGAGTTGAAAAAAATGGATATACATCTGAGAAAATTTTCAGGTCAAGTGGTATTTGTGAAGATTATTTCTTGAAATATTCTCAGCTGAATTTCAGCTAGAACATTTGTTTGAAATTAGACTAGAGACTAGAAGCATCACCAATAATCTCGACTTCTTCTTTCCGATTTCATTGTAATTCAGAATTAAGTTCCCATTTGAAGTGAATTTTTTTTATTATATGAATGAGTTTCGATGTTTCGATTTTTCGATGATGGATATCATATACCTTGCTGGTTTTCAAGTAGAAGTTTTATTTGAAGGATTGTTGTCTCATTGTTGTGAGTTCATGTGAATCATTGAAGTGTGACAATTCTTTTTTCTTTTTGGTCCCTTGTATCTGATCATTCTATTTGTGAGTTTCATTCGATTTACATAATAATTTGAGTTCTCTCAGAGAATTACGTATGATTCAAGCATAATTACACCTGGCTATACAAATCCCTTATCGGTTCCCATTCCATCTTATCGGTTTGAAGTAAAGAACAAACCAGTAGTGATGACATTATATTATTTGGTTTTGAAGTGTGAAAATTCTAAATCAGACATGCTCCTCAGAAATTTATAATTCTATATTTGAAATAATGAAAAAAAAACAAGTTCATAGTCATGAAGTCATTGCACAGATTATTTCGAAATTGGAGTTGCTTTTGTGGTTGTGGTTGTTGCTCTACTACCACAATTGACACCAAATTCACATTCACTCATCTCAGGGTTGAAATAAGTTCCAGGACTGCAATTGAAAAGCCATGCTCTTCCTCCAGAACACTCATAGAATGACGCGCACAATTCTTTATCCGGTAAATATATTGGCATTGGTCCGTCTTGATCAGGGCACTCTCCATCTGAAAATTAAGAATCGTATTATGAATTTTCAATGGCTGATATTTCAATGAAACCGGAAATGATGATGAAATTTTGCCAAATAGTAGAATGAATGTATCCCGAGGAAATGTTTATGAAAATAATTTGCATAACATACAAATAATAAAACGATGATTATCAAAATTGTAAGGAACACAAAATTTTCGTCACATCTTCAACTCAAAGCACACTCTTGAGGCGCTTATGCTGACCTCACTCACCCTATTAAATAGCTACAGTTAAAGAACCAACGAAACGTATATGTCAATCTTTGAATTATGGAATTACACTCGTACAAAAATTGACAAAAGTTCAAAAACTCTCTCTTTTCGATAGGTGTGAGCGTATTTCCGAAAGAGGTGCAATTTTTTTGGATAATTCAAACGATTATGATTTGTAGTCCCATTAACCTTGCAAAATTAGTTTTCAATAAATATTATCTCACCAACAACGTAGATATTTGCGTGTAGAATACTAATACAGTTGGTTCTACCAAGGAATATAGTCTGTGTTGTCACATCCATGATATTTCTATGAATATCTCTATTATCATTCAAGTTTTCAAATATTTGTTTGGGAATTTCTCATTACTATTATTTCAAACCAACATTGCTACTATAGTAATTACTCCGTTTTCATTGAATTTCACATAAATATCATGTTTAGAGACGATTCATACTCGTCCCGTGTATTATTTACTCTTTAACATTTAGATAACTGAAAATATTTTTGATGACGTACAATTGACTGTCTGGAATGTTTCTTCATTTTCATTCGTCATTATTATTATCTTCCAATTATTTGAAGATTTTACAAATTTTTTTCATCATATACCTGCTCTTGGCCAAAATTCACACTTTTTTCATCCAAGTGAACCTTTTTCCAATGACTTGTGTATTTGGTATTTAAATTATATTAATCAAGAAACGGAAAATGTCTTCTCGTTAAAATGAACTTTGTTGACGGAAGCCAAAAGCTCTAGCGAGTGATGACTATTTTTGCGAAACTATACTTATTCTATGAAATATATAAGAAATACTACTTGGAGTGAAAAATCTCGGGCTTAACACATAGATGGCGCTAGTCTTATTGCATTTAATACTTTTTCAGTTAGTACTGACCTTCAAAGAAATTTGTTGAATTTGCATGATATTCTACTCATAAGTTTGTGAGTTATTGTGCTAAGAGGACTCCGCACCAGCAGAAACAACAATTAAACGTTTATTTGCTGACTTCAAACGTGGTCGTAGGGACACCGATGATGCAGAACGCAGTGGACGTCCAGATGAGGCAGTAACACCACACAACATAAAAAAATCACAAAATCGTTTTGAATGATCAAAAAGTGGAGTTGGGTGAGTCAGCTGGCATCGTGAAGATATCAAAAGGACGTGTTGACTTTATATTGCATGTGCATTTGACTATGAGAAAGCTCTAATCAAAGTGGATGCTGCGAGAGCTCACTGTTGACTATAAACGTTTTCATGATTCTGAGCCGTGTTTGACCATGATTAAACCTAACAAACCGGAATTTTTGCGTCTATATGTGGCAATGAATAAAACATGGATCCATCACTTCACTCCGGAATCAAAACAATCGTCATCTCAGTGGACCTCGACTAAAGCGCCCTAAAGTACAAAAATGGGATGGATGGGATGTGGGTGATGTAATATTCATCGACTATCTTGAGAAAGAAAATACTATCGACAGTGAATTTCATATAGTGTTATTGGAGAGTTTAAAGAACGAAACTGCGGAAAAACGACTCCATTTGAAGAAAAAGAAAACGCTGCTTCATCAAGATTGCATGAAATGGGCTTCGATTTGCTCCAGCATATACCATATTCGTCATATTTGGCTCCCAGAGACTACTGGCTGTTTGCAGACCTCAAAAAATGTTCGTGGGTCAGAAATTTTGTTGAAATGAAGACATTATTGCTGAAACTAAGACCTGTTCTGAGGTAAAAGATAAATCGTTCTACAAAAGTGGTGTTGAAATGTTAGAGCGACGCTGAAATTATTGTATGGCTCTACGTTGATGGATAAAGCCAATTTCGAACAAAAAAGCGTTTTTTTCTCAGGTCCGGGACGTTTCAGCCCAGGTATTATTTCGAAATAAAATTCTGTGGAGGATATCCGCTATGAGAATGAAATTGAATCTCATAACCAGAAACACGTCCATCGAAAGCTGTATATTTCAAAATGAACTGTCAATTCATTGATCCAGTTTGGCATTTGAGAAAATATTTGAAGCAAAGTTCTCAGAACTAACCTGTGAATGAAATAATTTAAACCCAAATTTAAAGTAATGAATTTGCGTTTCTGTGATTGGCCTCAAGAGTTATTAATCTAAACAACATTGATTGGTTCAAGTTTTGGGAGAATTGCCTGTAGACAGCACCAAATATCTCCTCATAATTGACGCTTTTTCCAATCTACCATATGAAAATGGATGTTTGTTGGTTGGTTGGTTGGTTGGTTAGTTGGTAAGTGATAAACTTCTACATCGCTCAACCGATCGTGATGATACTTGACATGTAAAAGTGATTTTTCATAGAGAAGGTTTTTAGACTATCAATTTTTCTGTAACTCGCCACCAGATGGTGCTGTAGAACAATTTTTTGAAAACACTGTTCTATTACGTTGCACACGCCTAAGTTCGTTGATTCTTATTCTGTCAAAACATCATAATAGCAGCGATACAGAAACATAGTACTAGTAGTCATATAAAATGTAATTTGACAGATACAAGGTACCTATTATTCGAACGTTCTGAATATAAGTATTTTGACTCTGATTTCATGACTAATACCTTTATTCATATAAACTAACTCATCGAACGTGAAATGTTTATGGACACCGTCGAAGTTGGATACGAATTCTACCCAGAACCAGAGAACCGGATTCCCATGAGCAATTCATTGATAAATCAATTGGAAGTCATTTTTTCAACCAACTGACTGCAACCATGCAGTTTGCAATCCATGTTGGAAGAACATAGGGGAATAGCAGTTCGAGTCCACTTCACTATCAAAAAAGCAGTCAGGTCATCGAAACCAAAAGAAGCTCGGCCATTGTGGAATGAATGAATAACGTGCACCCTTTTGAATACCTTGTGATTTGATAACGTTCTTCAACAGCACCAGGGAATTTGGCGTTTCAAGTCTGTTTTGGAAAAACCGCAGTGGGTTTCTTTATTGAAAGTATTTGTTTTGCTAATTGATTTGAATTTGCATATGTGAAGTATTCGAAAGTCGATTGGAATTTCATTTTAATTCGAATAAATTTTGAACCATTAGCATCACCAAAAAAACATTCAAGATTTTTTTGTGAAACTCTGTGAGCGGAATGTAGTTACTCTTCAAGCAACTTTCGGTATTTTCATTGGTTTCAAATATAATACCAATTCTTGCACCGTTGAAGCAATAAAAATTCACCTGAATTTTTTGTAAAACAAATTGATGCTTTCAATATTGTATATGGATGAATATGAATGTTGAAAATTTCAATATTTACACTTCTTTAGATATTTGATCGACAGATTTTTTTGTAAAATTTGTAATTCAACTACTGAAATTTTCTAACTCAATTCGATTTTGAACGGTAACTGTTCTATAAGAGACCAGAAATGAAAATTTCAAATTGATAAGTATATTGACAGACAGACAGTTTATTTCGAAACAAATTATATTTTATTGCTAATGCTCACTGAAGTAATAGGAGATCTATTTCGTCAAATATAGAAAGTAAGTCGTTGTATACAGTTTCAATTCGTCAAACTCTCAGCATGCAAAAACTTTCTTACCAGGATCAGCCATGACGAAGACCACTGCACAAAGGAGAAGAGAAAGTACAATTTTCATCTTGAATGACGTATTTCTGATATTAGTTGCTTTGAAATAGAAGACTAAAGTCAGAATATTTTCTAAAACATTATATACTCGTAGAGCTACTCTATTTGTGATAAACTGATATCACTTGAGTACCTGAATATTTCGAAATGTGCTATGGTGAAATTCAATTTGATAAAACGATATGAGAAATTAAGATATCTGCAAAAAAAAGGGATTGTTTATTCTTTCATGATATTTCGACATATATACTTTATCATCATATCGATGATGCTGATATACAGTTAGACATATCTAACACATATATTTTTCCACCGATTGGAATGTTCATTATGTAGACATTCGACAAATCTAGAAGGCAATTGAATTTCATGTATGCGTCTTTGTTTTCAGAAACAACCTTCATTGTTGTCCAATGTCAAAAACGTAAAACAATCATTAGTGATTCATTTCAAATCTGATCACATCACTGAATTCATCTAGTTTTGAAATGAGATTATGTTGAAATACATCAAAATGAGTCAGTAATCAAAAAGGACAAGTGGGTTCAATTTACAAAACTTGCTACAATTCACAAGGAAAATTATACAAAAGCGGTGAACCTGGCCGACGGCATCAAGGTTCAACCTTCTTCAATCGAGGACTATAGGAACATGTCCAAACTCCTGGTGAGGGAAAAATCCCTCACCACACGTACTCCTCATCTGAAGAAAGGCAAATCAGAGCCGTCTTCAGAGGAGTCCCCGAACATCTGGAGACTGCTGACATCGATGACGCTTTTTGTGGAAAAAGTGTTCCAACCGTCATCCGTCAAAAGGATGATGCGAGAAAACCGACCGCTTCCTCTGGTTTTGGTTCAAGGCAAGGTACTGAGGCAGCGAAATAATGACGAAAAATTCCTTTTTCATCCTGGTCTACGCCACAGGACCCGTGGTAACAAATTCATATGGACTTTGCCGGTCCGTTGCATAGAGAATATTTCTTCATTGTTGTAGACGCCTACTGTAAGTAGCCAGAGCACGAAAAATATAACGAGTTCCGTCACAATAAGAACTCTGGAAGACATTTTTGCAAGGTTTGGAAACTCACAAAGACTTGTGTCGGATAATGGAAATCAATTCTGCAGTGAACAATTCAAATATTCCTACAGAAAAATGGTATTGAACATATAAAAGATAAGTAAAGGAAAATTTATGTTAAACGTTTCTATTGGGAAAAAAATAATAATGATGTAGATAATGTACTGACAACTAAAAATAATTTGGAAGGTTCTAGGTAGCAGTCATCATACCACTCTTCTCAGCAATCTACAGTATTGATCAGATAAAAAAATTAATGAAATTTTTGGGCGTGACATAACCTGAGTAAATGTGTAAATACTACGTCCAAGATTTTTCATTATTTTTCATCTGATAAATACCGTAGATCGCTGAGAAGAGTGGTGTGATGACTACTACCTAGAATCTTCCAAAATATTTTTCAGTATATCATCTACATCATTATTGATTTCTAATGAAACCGTTTAACATAAATTATTTCATTTTCGAATTTTCAGTTTCAAATTTTTAACCACCCTGATGCCACAGCTTTTATTCCAACTTGGGTGGTGTATCGCTAACGATGTATCATTTTCAGCCACCCTCCTAACGCCACACAGTCTTCGACACGATACAAAATCGTGTCGAAGGGATCCATGCTTGTATCCAGATTCTGAGTTGACAAAGTTCTTTGTATTGATAATATTTGATTTGCATCTTTTTCATGGTGTAGTACTATAGTACTAGTCAAGTCCTGTCATTTTATACCCATATTGAGATAATTAACAGTTAATTCAAATATTTTCATCAACATATTGAACAACTTCGAATGGTTACACACCAAGCAGTAAATCGCCAGCTGAAACACTAATGGGTAGAGAAGTTAGAACAATATCTGATCTATTACTATCGTCTCAAGAACCATACTTTCACAATATTGGTGGAAACCATTACTCCAAATTCAGAGTTGGGGACACCATATATTATAAGGTTCATCGCAAGAATGTGTTTGACTGAAAACCTGGAAAGATCATTGATAAGATTGGAAAGGTAATGTAGGAAGTATTATTGGGAAACCCTCATTAACCAATAAGAGTACACGTCAATTAGATTAGGAAGGAATATACTTGACATATCAATGAACTCTTTTGATTTCGAATTGGAACCGCAGATTATATCAAATGAAGATGATCAAATGGATCAACGGAGAGCCTGGGGAAATATCACAGCAGGTTGAAAAGATTCAACATCCATCTTTCCATGAACTACTCTCAAATGACTTATTTTTCATTGAATTGGTTCTAATTGGTTTCGGTGGATTCTTTTTGTCAGTCATTTTCCGGTGAATTGTTTTCAGGTGAGAGTTTCGCTGACTTGTTTTCGGTGAAGTTAGCGGACACCAATAATGATCATTTATAAAGCAGTCTTTTGTATCTTGATAGGCACAAAATTAACTCATGACGTTGAATGAATCTAGTGACACTGGTTTTTCTACAACAGAGCTAAGCACTTTTTGCTATCCAAGTTAGCATTATCAAGAGATAACTAACTGAATCAAACAATTCACTCTGAAGTAGTTCAAAAAAAGTAGCAAGAATGGGTTATCTTTTTTTCGTCTTGGCCCAATAATACAAAAAGTAGCGAAAATTTTGAATTTTCCTTGCTGGATAGAAAAACTCTAAAAGGAAACATATTTCACTTTTGACCTCCAACAAAAATCAACGGTAGGTTATCTATGTAAAACAAACAAATCCAAGTCTTGGTGGAATCAAATGTGCCAAGTCACTTGAACACTCTTCGTGAAAGTATCTATAGAAGAGAGACAATTTCCTAACCTTTTTTTGATGTTGCAGACTATCGGGGTTGAAAGTGATGTTCGTGTCTCCAATCAGGCGGATGGTTTTTTGTGGATAGGATCCAGCAGCATCAAGAAATACTTAGGGAAAGAGCTCCATACATGAAACCAATACTCCAAAGAAGGTCTGATCGGAACTTTATGAAGCATCAAAAGTTGCTGAGATGTGTACAGTTTTTTAGTTTGAAACAGTGTTCTAAGCTTTTGAGAAGCAGCCTTTGCAATTCCAGCGACATGATTGTGCCATGACATATTGGTGTCCATTTTGATCCTTAACAAACTTATCGGAGCAGAAAGCGGAATTGTCTGTCCTGACATTATTATATCCGGTTGGGAGTGATTTATCTTTTTGGAGAAAGCCGATGCCTGGGTTTTGGTGGCATTGAATTGCACCCGATTATTTTTACCCCAATTTGAAATCACCTCTAGATCGTCATTAAGATATGACGAGACAAGTGTGCTGTCGTCAGTAAAGCAATATATTGGATTCTTGTTTTTTCCGAAAAATTGTTGATATACAATAAAGAGAGGGTTTGAGACAATATGAATCCCTGGGGAGTACCAAACGTAGATGGTAAAAGTATTCATGAGATATCCATCGACGGCCACCTGCAGGGAACGTCCTTTGAGAAAATTGAAGAACCTTACACAAAAAAGATTTGACAAGCCATAGCATCGAAGTTTGATCAGCACACAGCTCTCAAGCGTAACAGCTCTTGACTCTCCGTGTTTCTCGATTGCTCCATTCCAAATATGGGTAGTGGTAGTATGTGAATTGCAATCGTTTATTGATGGAAAGAGAAGGGTAAAATATGACATCATAACAACTTCGACAGGCTATATCTCGAAAACTAGTTGAGTCCTGGTGATGCCGAGTGGGACCAGCTTCTATCATTTATTTGAATCTCAAAACTAAAACTACAAATAAGTGAATAATGGTAACGATGATGTAAAATGTATCCTTACCACCCCCTTTTGATTTAAAATTAATATTTCTAGTGACTTATATCGATTTGTAGGTGGGTAGAAGTAGTCACATCAACAAGTACTGATAAATGATTACATAAAAGACGCCGGATCTAGTGAGCAGAAGCCAAAGTTCTGGAGTTCTCTTCTAGGTTTGTTCTCAAGCTGCTTATTATAGCAAATGCTCATGTTCTTACTTTCTTTTCACCTCCAATTTGCTGTGCTCCTAATATTTCTTTGTCTTTAGTCGATGAATAAGATAATGCTGTTTCTGTAATGTCTGATAAAGTTATCATTTTGTATCAGTATTTTCGATTGACGGAATTAATTCCTTTTCTCTTTCATTATCTGATTGATACATATAATCCAGAAAAAAACATTGATATAATAATGATATGGAATACAGATAATCTCAAAATGATAAGCAAGTTAGTTCATTGAAATTGCAATAATTTTTATAAATGATTTCATTGAGAAAGATTGATATTTTTATCTGAGTATATTCACGTCAGCTTCCATATGATATTCGTAATATGAAAATCAATAACATTTATCCTTTTCAAAACTGAACAATGGTTGGAAATGAGTCAAACCATTTGATAACCTCAACCCAAAGTAAGAAATGCTGATGAACACCCCTCTTATGAAGACAACAAATATATCAAAGGTGAACGAATTGCTTTCTGCTTCTCTCTCTCTCTTCTATCGCTTTCTGAACCTCACACTACAACCACAGTATAATTATATACAGTAATCCCACTTCGGGTGATTTTTGGTTTGAATTTTCTACACACAGACCCAGGAGTTGCAGTTTCTGGTCTGCGCAAACGACGAGTTCAAGACAGGCACGTAACCCTTCCACAGTTGTCGAATTTCATGGGTTTCACCCAATCTACTATTTTTGTATGATTGAACACTACACAATTACTTTTTTACTTCTTCAAGTCCTAAAAAGTACTATATAATTCAAAAAGAATAGGCTCTACAGATTCTTGAATCTCGAGTGATGAATTCGATTAGGAATATTTTTAATAATTGGCCCTCAATATAATCGAATCGTCAAACTCGTCCGCCATCTCGTCAAACTCGTCCGAGATTCTTGAATCTCGAGTGATGAATTCGATTAGGAATATTTTTAATAATTGGCCCTCAATATAATCGAATCGTCAAACTCGTCCGCCATCTTAAATTCTCAAATCAATAAATGAATATCCTATATTTGGCCCCAAAAATCACTAAAAAAAAAATTTCGCATGGATGCGTACCATGGTTCATGATTAACAAAACTCGTTCTTCATCTTGTCTTTTTTCTTGTTGAAATGAAAATATATTTTTTCACATCCTAATATGAACATCTGCCGATCCCATGAATTTTTAAAATCTACCTGAAACAGAGTTCATCATTGTCCAAATGATCTGGGTTACTTGAATATTACACAAATGCAAAATTATCATTTGTAAAATTTTCTCAGGTGCCCAACATGGTTTTCATCGACTGTATTTTTTTGAGCAGTTCATATGAATAGTTGTTATGTTGAGCAGTATTTAGACGCTTCGGTTGAGATTGTAGTAAGGAGAAATGTCATCAGTATCAAATACGTCAGCATTGTAAAAAGTGAAACTCCTGAACACCAACATGAAAGGGACCGACGCTAAGTGGGATTACTGTATATAAGTATATACTGTGCTACAACAGTTATACTGGAACCCAAATGTGTTGCGTCTATAATACGATTCCCTACAGCGCTCTTTCGAAATCTCATAGATC